TCGTTTGCGGTAAGATCGGTCACTCCACTCCCCGCTGTTTTCGTCGCCTGGACGACCTCTTTCGTCAGCGCTTCGACCCGTCGCCAGACCTCCCGGACTGGCACAGTTTGCTTAGTCAACAGATTCAGATCTTTGATATGGACATGGATGCCATTGTTTCTGCTCTGCATGTGATGTATGCTGATGACTCTAGTGTGCCTCCAACTTATTACTCACTGTTGCCTAGTGTAGGTGTGCCTAGCGTAGCCTCCCCTGCTGCGTCAGGCGTAGGATCCTCTGCTTTGTGTAGTCTTGGTGCTTCCGCCGTCGTTCCGTCGCCAGCCGCCTCTGCTTCGCTTTCCTTCACTTTGGACTCTGGCGCTTCTCGGTGTTTCTTCCGCGACTCCACCACCCTCACGCCGCTTCCTGTTCCTGCTGCCGTTTCTCTTGCTGACCCCTCCGGCGGTCCGGTAGTCGCCCGCAGTTCTACCACCCTTCCCTGTCCGGCGGTTCCTTCGGGCACTCTCACAGGTCTGCATATCCCCTCGTTCTCCAGGAACCTAGTTGGTGTCGGCTGCCTCCAGGACCTTGGCGTCACCACTACGTTCCCTGGTCACGAGCGGTATGCTGTCTGTACCGAGGCCGCCACTGGTGCCCCCCTGTCCACGTTCCCCCGGGACCCGGTGTCCGGCCTGTTCACTCTGGACACCGTGACCCCCCCGGCTGGAGCGCTCACCCAGGTTGCTGCCGCCTGCTCCTGTCGGTCCCTCACTCACCCGACCCTCCTTTGGCACCACCGCCTAGGTCACCCTGCACTCCCGCGTCTGCGTCACATGTCCAAGCGCGGTCTTGTCCTTGGTCTCCCAGGTTCTCTCCCCGCGTTTCCCTCCTCCCCAGCCCCACCTTGCACGCCTTGTGTCGAGGGTCGGCTTCGCCGTGCCCCTCACTCCTCCTCGTTTCCCCCTACCGCCGCGCCGCTGCAGACCCTGCACCTGGACGTCTGGGGCCCCGCCCCTGTCCCTGGGCCGCGTCGAGAGCGCTACTTCCTTGTGCTTGTCGATGACTTCACTCGTTACACCACAGTCTTTCCCCTGGAGCGCAAGGCCGACGTGCCTGGCGCTCTCATCCCCTGGCTTGTCTCTGCGCGTGTCCACCGCGGTCTCCCTGTCTTGCGTCTTCACTCAGACCGTGGTGGCGAGTTTGCCTCCGGTGTCCTTGGTCGCTTTTGTCGTGCGGAGGGCATCACGAAGACGTTCACCCTACCGGACTCCCCACAGCAGAATGGGGTCGCTGAGCGACGAATTGGTTTGGTCATGGAGGTGGCTCGCACCTCCATGATCCATGCTGGTGCACCCCATTTTCTGTGGCCGTTCGCTGTGCGCTACGCTTCTCACCAGCTTAACTTGTGGCCGCATCCTCAGCAGCCGCAGGTTTCGCCGACCAGTCTTTCGACTGGGTCTCCTGGTGACGCGTCTGCGTTCCACGTCTGGGGCTGCCTTGCTCACGTCCGTGCCTCCGGCACGGACAAGCTCACGGCCCGCACCCTTCCCTGCGTCTTCCTCGGTTTTCCTCTTGACGCGTCCGACTGGCACTTTTACCACCCGCCGTCTCACCGCTTCTTTCACTCTCGTGACGTCACCTTTGACGAGTCCGTCCCCTACTACCGTCGCTTCCCCCACCGTGGTCCCCCGGTTACCCCCCCCCTGTTCCTGGTCACTCCTTCCCCGGTAGTCCCTGCCCCTCCTCCTCCTCCTCCCCGTCCCGCCCCCTCGGGTGTGTCCCACGTCACCCCCCTTCCGTCGGAGGACCCGGTTGAGGAGTCTTCTGACTCTGGTGGCCCTCCTGTGCAGTCCTCGCCGGCCGCCCCTCCCCCGGCGTCCCCTCCCCAGTCCCCTCCTCCACCGCCTCTGCCGCCGCTGCAGCCGTCGTTGTCGCTGCCGCCGCAGCCGCCGCCGCCGCCGCCGTTGCAGCCCCCGTTCGCTGACTCTGGGGGTGCTGGTATGGAGAGTGCCGGTGGTAGCCGAGGAGCAGCTTGCGGTCCAGGTGTCGCCGTTGTGCCGCCGCAGTAGCAGTCCCCGCCGGTGTCAGCCCTTCGCCTGCTCGGCCTTCCGTCCCCCGACCCTGCGTCTGTTCCTCCCCGCCCGTCTCCTCCTCTTCCTGTCTACGGCCCTGTTTTCCCTCCGCCGGACTCGTCCCCGGCCTGTCTCCCCCCTCGTTCCCCTCCTGTGTCCCCTCCCCTGTCCCCTGACCCGACTCCCCCGTCGCACGTCTGGTGTCACCGTCCCTCCCGTGCTCGTCCTGCCTCGCCTGTCTTGCGCTCCCACCCTATGTTGCTTCGTTCCCACGCGTCTCGTCCTCCCCTTCTGCCATCGCCTCCTCCGTCCTCCCTTGTTGTTGCACCCCCCCCGCTGTCTGAATACCTTCGTGCAGCTCGTCCCCTTGTTCCTCGGGTCCTTGCCTCTCTCGTTACCGACCCGTCTGTTCCGGTCTCGTGCCTTGACGCTCTTGTCGCTGCTGTCGCTGACTTCGCCTCTACCCGCCGCCTTGACTACGCCTCTGCTCTGGTCTCTGACCCTGCCTGTCCTCCGTCTGTCGGGGGTGCTCCTGCCCTTGGCAGTGACGTCCTGGAGGACCGCCAGTTCGAGCTTGCTTTCCTCTCCGAGGCTGCTCCCCATCTCTGTTCCATGCTGCTAGTCCCTGAGGGTGACCCAGACGCTTTCGACATCCCGACCCCTCGCACTTACGCTGAGGCGACCTCGGGACCCTGGGCCTCTCAGTGGATAGCTGCCATGGAGCAGGAGATGGCATCTTGGAGATCCACCGGCACTTTCGTCGACGCAGTTCCCTCGGCTGGGGTGAACGTAGTCGATGGCCGCTGGCTCTTCAAGGTGAAGCGCCTTCCTGGAGAGCCGCCTATGTTCAAGGCGCGCTATGTGGCTAGAGGCTTCAGTCAGCGCGAGGGGGTGGACTTCTTCCAGACCTTCGCTCCGACCCCGAAGATGACTACTCTTCGGGTTCTGTTACACCTAGCTGCTCAGCGTGACTACGAGCTTCACTCCCTCGACTTCTCCACTGCCTTCCTTCAGGGCAGCCTACACGAGCAGGTCTACTTGCGTCACCCTCAGGGCTTTACTGGCACCTTCCCTCCTGGGACCCAGTGGCTCCTGCAGCGCCCCGTCTACGGCCTGCGCCAGGCTCCCCGTGAGTGGCACGACACTCTCCGTACTACGCTTGCTGACCTGCAGTTCTTTCCGTCTTCCGCAGACCCTTCACTCTTCGTTCGTGCTGGCCAGACTCCGTTCTACATCCTTTTTTACGTCGACGACCTGGTCTTTGCCACAGCAGACAGGGACGCACTGGCCTTCGTGAAGGCAGAGCTGCTGAAGAGACACACGTGCACTGACCTTGGAGAACTGCGCCGCTACCTTGGCTTGCAGATCTCCAGGGACAGAGCATCGCGCCACCATCACCCTGACTCAGTCACACTTGGTGCGCCAGGTCCTTCAGAGGTTCAGCCTTCAGTTCTCCTCTGCACAGCCCACCCCTCTGCCTGTAGACCACAGACTCTTCGCTCCAGTGTCTGAGGAGTTGGTAGAGCCCAGCGGCCCCTACGCAGAGCTGGTGGGTTGCCTCATGTACCTGATGACTTGCACTCGCCCAGATCTCGCATACCCTCTCAGCATCCTGGCTCGCTTTGTGGCCACAGGCAGACACCGACCGCAGCACTGGTCTGCCGCTAAGAGGGTTCTGCGTTATCTTGCTAGTACATCGGGCATGGGGTTAGTGCTAGGAGGACGCAGGCCAGTGGTCCTTACTGGACACACTAACGCTTCGTGGGCAGACGACGCCGAGACACTCAGGTCTACCCAGGGCTACTGCTTCAGCCTTGGCTCAGGTGCCGTCTCGTGGAGAGCTACCCGCTCCTCGTCTGTTGCCCAGTCCAGCTGTGAGGCTGAGATCTACGCTGGTGCCATGGCGGCACAGGAGCTCCGCTGGCTGACCTTCTTGCTCACTGACTTAGGTGAGCGGCCTAGCTCTGCCCCGGTCCTGTTCGCTGACAACAGGGCCATGATCCTCCGGTGTCAGGAGCCTCGACTCGAGGGCAGAGCGAAGCACATTCAGCTGCGGTACTTCCTCCTGCGTGAGCTACAGCAGCGACGTCAGGCTCGCGTAGTACACTTGGCCTCAGGTGCCAACACGGCTGATATCTTTACGAAGGCGCTTGCGCCTAAAGATCATCAGCGGCACTGTGTACAGCTTGGTCTAGTTCCTGTAGCCTCTCACTTGCTAGGACCTTGACTTTGTACTGTCGTTTATATGTATACTCAGACTGGACTTGTGTCCTCTCCCAGTGGCTGGACTAGTAGTGCCGCCCTGCTCTTGTTCTTGCCTTGTCTGTACCCCTTCTGACTGGTCTCTCAGACCCTTGTCTCAGAGGTTGGACTAGTAGTGCCGCCCTGAGCTGCTTGTTTAGGACACTCTCCTATACAGTCTAGGGGGTGTGTCAAACATGTGTATTTGTCATGTTTGTATAGACTGTATAGGGTCGCCTCTTAGAGGGTACAACACTTAGGTATATCTGTGTGTACTCTCACTCTACCATTTATTCACTTCTCTAATTCTGATAATAACTTGTGTACAATAGGACTAAGCCATTTTTTGGGGTTGCGAAGCAACCTATTACGATCGATTTTGCCGATTTTTTTTTTTTTTTTTCACTCAAAATTTTGGAAGGAAAACCTTTGCACAATAAAATGTGACCTACAGATTTTTTTCCTATTACTATAACAAGATGCCAGAGGTGTTTATCCTATGATTGTAATTATATGCATATATTTTGGAATAATATTTGCATTATATTTGGCTGATTTTTTGTGTACTTGAAATTTTGGCAGGTCTCTTATTTGATTGCATCATATCGTTGTGTAGTGTACGGATCCAATCGAGTCCTGCAAGAAAATTCATGTCATAATTGATGACATGAATAAAAAGGCAAGTGTGATGACTATGTGTGACAGTGAAAAACTCAAACTCTAGGCTACCGCTTCCACAGCGCTAGCATGGGGGGGAAGACAGCAAGCTTAGTGTCTGAATGATTAACTGTGACATGGAGCAACGCAATCTGTAAGGTCCAAAAAAAGAACCAAACCTATCAAATCCAGTTCAAGAGACAGAAACTCAAGGAGCTCGCCTGTGAACCTTTTGTGATTTGATAAGCATGCTTTCTTTTTTTGAAAGAAACAGACGTACCTTGCTAATGGAATGAATTGTGGATCGAGAATGAGAGCAAACAAGAGCAGCAAGACGCATCCAACCAAACACAAGACGCCAGCAATTATAAGAATATAAAGCTGAAAATGAGATAACGGAACAACCCCACAAATTACAGCTGAACGCCATACAAAGCTCATAAACTCGTTTACAAAAAAACCTGCACAAAATTAAAGTGGATGAAGGTGGATAGTGGATAGTATATTAGGCATTGCGTATGGAAAGAAGTGAATAACAATCAGCTAGGGCGAGAATGAATGAGCATGCGAAGTGAACACAAAATGTGATTGTGAAAGGAAAGAGACGACGAGAGAGGTAAAGAGAGAAGTTGAAAGAGAGGTAGAGAGAGAGGGAGAGAGAGAGAGAGAAAGAGAGAGAGAGAGGGAGAGAGAGAGGAGGGGGGGGCAGAGAGAGTGAGCGGGGCATTGCAAGAGAGAGAGAGAGAGAGAGAGAGAGAGAGAGAGAGAGAGAGAGAGAGAGAGAGAGAGGTAAAGGACGAGAGGGAGAGAGGTAGAGAGAAAGGGGTAAAGAGAGAGAGGGCGAGAAAGGTAAAGAGAGAGATATTGAAAATAACACGCGGAATCGAAGGAAAAGAGTACAAGGTTATGATAAAAACAGAAAACGAGCAGAAAACGGAACGAGACAGAGATTGAATGGAACACGTAAGCGAGATAGGAAACGAAAGGATAAATGGCACAAGGATTGAATGGAACGTACAAGAGAAAACAACGAAGAACTGAAAAGTAAGGAGGTGACGAGAATGGAAGAGAGAGAGAGAGAGAGAGAGAGAGAGAGAGAGAGAGAGAGAGAGAGAGAGAGAGAGAGAGAGAGAGAGAGAGAGAGAGAGAGAGGGGGGGAGGGAGAGAGAGAGAGAGAGAGAGAGAGAGAGAGAGAGAGAGAGAGAGAGAGAGAGAGAGAGAGAGAGAGAGAGGGAGAGAGAGAGATGATAGGAGAGGCTATGGGGGAAAGAAAAAGGGCTTGTGCTTACCGCGTTTCCAAGATGCAAATTTAGGATGAAAATGTGGGAAAAATGTAAGAGCTCGACGAAAAGGAAGGGGAAGGAATCCAGCAGAGAAGAGGAAAAACGGGTGAGAGGAGGGGTTAGAATGAGTGTCGTGCATCTATGCTGAAATCGACCACTGACATTTCCATAGCTAGAGAAATATATCGTGCCTTGGGAGAAATCAATCGTGAAGTTGGGAGAAATCTATGATGCACTAGCTGTTGGAAGAAAGTTGAGTCTGAGATTAGGATAGAGAGGAAGAGGAGAAAGGTGCTCGAAGACTACGGCTGAAACAGCTGCTCTCTGAACCCTCGAGCGGACCAGCTGCGTTGGAGCCACGTTTTTGCAGCTCTGAAGAAACGTTTTTTTTTTCTTTCCGGTCAGAAATTGCCCCGTGAAACAATAATTGGCGTAATGATGTTTTTTAACGGCAATTACGGGTAGTGTAACTTCAGAATGCGAGTATGTAACGCGTAATGCATCCAGTGGCGAGCTCGAGGGTTTTACCAGTGCTTGACGAAAACAAAAATCAGTATCCTGTGGCGAGTGTGGCTAGGCGGGTGTCATTGCCACGCTAGATTTCACTTCCGTCTGGCAGTTGCGCGTGACGAGCCTCGCCATTGGGGAAATAAAACAAAAATTGCCAGGTGGCCAGATTCGTTCGCCACAAGTCGTCTACAGTGGGAACAGCCACCACATAATCAAACAGAATCACAACAAATCCCAGCGTCAGGGCATTTGACGGAAAGGCAAAAAAAAAATCCAAACGCGCAAAAAACAGATAATACATTACTAAAATTTGGCTACAGTAGAACAATAAGGGACCAAACGTTTCAGAATTTTGTACAAGCAGAAACGAACAGCAGTAGAACCAGTTCAATCAGCGTTGCACGAACTTGAAACAGTGGCGCAAATTCTGATTCACAAGGTATAACTTAAAGCGCATCAAAATAAAGTAAATACATATGTATATGAAAGACAACTATGTAACTATTTCTAACTGTAATAGATGCAATAACATTGTATGTACTTTTACTAATGCGCTGATATGACATACACCATCGATTGAATATTTCACATAGAATATATGAAATAACTATGATATTTTAACAGATACTTTCACATCAAAGCTTGATAATTAGCTTAAGCCTATGTATCCTACTCATATATATACATATATAGGCTCCGCAACCCTAAGACGATTGCGTCGTCTCTTGTTTTTTGTGCTGTCACTGCCTATCAAGACTTAGTTAATTTTTGTGGGTTGTTGTTAGGTGTGTAGGGGGGATGTCTGTACGACACATGACTTAGCCGATTTTTGTGGGTTGCTTGGTGTGTGAGGGAATGTTTGAGGACTTCACCAATTTTTGTAGGTTGTGTGTGGGGGGGAATGTCTCTGGAGATTGGGGACTTCGACTAAATTTCCGCATTGTGAGCTACATGGATGTCGCACTCAGGGTTCGTACGCGTTACTCCCTGAAAACTCAGTGTTGGGATAACGCAAACCCTGAAATTCAAAGTGTTCACAGACATACAACCCTGAAGAGGTTAGGGTTAAAAAAAGCCCAACCCTGAAAATTAAGGGTTGGCAAAAAAAAAAACCCGGTGAAATCAGGGAATCAGGGTAAAATACCCTGATAGCGACAGGCCTGGGCCCAACCCTTTCCCGAGTCGCGTCCGGCAAATCGCCTCGCCACATTGCCGAACCTACCCACGTTCCGAGGTTATCGCCCTAGCATGCCAACCCCTATATAACCTCGTGCCTTCATTGCAATAGCGACCTTGTATTCTCACGTTATATTCCATTGACACTTCCTGTATCATAACAATGTCAGTTTCGACGTAACTATGTGACACGGACCCGCCCCTACGTTATGTGGCCAGTTATGCTGAGTAACAAGGGATTTGTCCAACTCTGCACCAAAAACTCAATAGAGGAGCTGAAAGAAAGTTGTGAAGGAAGCGTGGCAAAGAAACACGTGGCTAAAATGTATTGCCTCATGTTATAGTATATGCCTTGATTGAGTGGCAGCATGTCGCCAACTGTCCAGTCCGCTCGCTGAAAATGGAGAGACTCAACGAAAGAAGTGCCAGCTGAAAATGGAGGTGGGGATACGTGGGAGGGTGGGGGGAGTAAGGGAGGTGGAGTGAATAATTGAGCAGTGAGCACAAATCAAACAGCGGTTGAAACATGCACTTGTGGCCACACCGCCGCCGTGCCCATGGCGTGACACTGTGCATGGGATGATGATGATGCTGTATGCGTGGCATGATGCTGTATGCGTTGCATGATGCTGTATGGAGAGATGTGAGCATGGAGAGATGTGAGCATGGAGAGATGTGAGCATGGAGAGATGTGAGCATGGAGAGATGTGAGCATGGAGAGATGTGAGCATGGAGAGATGTGAGCATGGAGAGATGTGAGCATGGAGAGGTGTGAGCATGGAGAGGTGTGAGCATGGAGAGATGTGAGCATGGAGAGATGTGAGCATGGAGAGATGTGAGCATGGAGAGATGTGAGCATGGAGAGGTGTGAGCATGGAGAGGTGTGAGCATGGAGAGATGTGAGCATGGAGAGATGTGAGCACGGAGAGATGTGAGCATGGAGAGATGTGAGCATGGAGAGATGTGAGCATGGAGAGATGTGAGCATGGAGAGATGTGAGCATGGTGAGATGTGAGCATGGAGAGATGTGAGCATGGAGAGATGTGAGCATGGAGAGGTGTGAGCATGGAGAGGTGTGAGCATGGAGAGATGTGAGCATGGAGAGATGTGAGAATGGAGAGATGTGAGCATGGAGAGATGTGAGCATGGAGAGGTGTGAGCATGGAGAGGTGTGAGCATGGAGAGATGTGAGCATGGAGAGATGTGAGCACGGAGAGGTGTGAGCATGGAGAGATGTGAGCATGGAGAGCATGGAGAGATGTGAGCACGGAGAGATGTGAGCATGGAGAGATGTGAGCATGGAGAGATGTGAGCATGGAGAGATGTGAGCATGGTGAGATGTGAGCATGGAGAGATGTGAGCATGGAGAGATGTGAGCATGGAGAGCATGGAGAGATGTGAGCACGGAGAGATGTGAGCATGGAGAGATGTGAGCATGGAGAGATGTGAGCATGGAGAGATGTGAGCATGGAGAGATGTGAGCAGAGCACTCGCCACCTCCTCCACCGCCCCTCGCTGCACCGCCTGGCGCACACCAGGAGAAAGCCCCACACCAGGAGACAGCCACACCAGGTGACAGCCAGACCAGGAGACAGCCACACACCAGGAGACAGCCAGACCACCACGTGTTAGCCCACGAGTAGCAACGACAGGGAGCGGTTAGGTGGGAAGGGAGAGGTGGCACTGGTAGCCAATAGAGAAGAGGCACTGGTGGAAGGCAGGCGGAGAGTGCAAGCGGGCATTGTTGAGGAGGCGGGCATTGGCGGCGTGCAGCAGAGCAAGAGGCAGCAGCAGAGCAAGAGGCAGCAGCAGAGAAAGTGGCAGCAGCAGAGCAAGAGGCGGCAGCAGCGCAAGAGGCAGTAGCAGAGGGAGGCAGCAGCAGAGGGAGGCAGTGGTAGACAGGAGAAAGCGGATGAACATGGCAAACCTGCACTTGGCAGTGGGGGTGAGCTGAGAGGACGTGAGTGGAGTGAGATGGCATGTCATATAGAACGTGAGAAGGAGAGGGGGAGTGAGGAGGCAGGTGTGAGAGGCGACTGACATGAAGGAGAGTGTTGGGCCGTGATGTGGATGGCTGCGCTGGCATGCTCCACCTGCACGGATGGAACACGGATGGAACACGCATGGAGCACACATGGAGCACACATGGAACACACGTGGAACACACGTGGAACACACGTGCCATGCGTACCACACTTGACATGAACACATGGGTAGCTTCTAGCCTTCTATACATCGGATGTCTGATGGCGACACCCAGCACGCCCAGCTCCTATTCCTCCCTGCATCCTCACTGTGCGGCCCCCATGCATCCTCACTGTGCGGCCCCCATGCATCCTCACTGTGCGGCCCCCATGCATCCTCACTGTGCAGCCCCCATGCATCCTCACTGTGCGGCCCCCATGCATCCTCACTGTGCGGCCCCCATGCATCCTCACTGTGCGGCCCCCATGCATCCTCACTGTGCGGCCCCCATGCATCCTCACTGTGCGGCCCCCATGCATCCTCACTGTGCGGCCCCCATGCATCCTCACTGTGCGGCCCCCATGCATCCTCACTGTGCGGCCCCCATGCATCCTCACTGTGCGGCCCCCATGCATCCTCACTGTGCGGCCCCCATGCATCCTCACTGTGCGGCCCCCATGCATCCTCACTGTGCGGCCCCCATGCTTCCTCACTTTGCGGCCCCCATGCATCCTCACTGTGCGGCCCCCATGCATCCTCACTGTGCGGCCCCCATGCATCCTCACTGTGCGGCCCCCATGCTTCCTCACTGTGCGGCCCCCATGCATCCTCACTGTGCGGCCCCCATGCATCCTCACTGTGCGGCCCCCATGCATCCTCACTGTGCGGCCCCCATGCATCCTCACTGTGCGGCCCCCATGCTTCCTCACTGTGCGGCCCCCATGCATCCTCACTGTGCGGCCCCCATGCATCCTCACTGTGCAGCCCCCATGCATCCTCACTGTGCGGCCCCCATGCATCCTCACTGTGCGGCCCCCATGCATCCTCACTGTGCGGCCCCCATGCATTCTCACTGTGCGGCCCCCATGCATCCTCACTGTGCGGCCCCCATGCTTCCTCACTTTGCGGCCCCCATGCATCCTCACTGTGCGGCCCCCATGCATCCTCACTGTGCGGCCCCCATGCATTCTCACTGTGCGGCCCCCATGCATCCTCACTGTGCGGCCCCCATGCTTCCTCACTTTGCGGCCCCCATGCATCCTCACTGTGCGGCCCCCATGCATCCTCACTGTGCGGCCCCCATGCTTCCTCACTGTGGGGCCCCCATGCATCCTCATTGTGCGGCCCCCATGCATCCTAACTGTGCGGCCCCCATGCATCCTCACTGTGCGGCCCCCATGCTTCCTCACTGTGCGGCCCCTTTGCATCCTCACTGTGCGGCCCCATGCATCCTCACCGTGCGGCCCCCATGCATCCTCACTGTGCGGCCCCCATGCATCCTCACTGTGCGGCCCCCATGCATCCCTGTAAGCAATGCCCACCTCTCCTCATACGAGGCAAAGCTGTTGCCAAGAATCACAATAGGCGCACGTGCTGCCGCGCCCCCACCACACGCGCCACCTGCTTCTGCTTCTGCTACTGCTGACGATGGTGGCGAGGAGGATGGCGGCAGCACGGCAGGAGTTGGGGTGAGCAGCGGCGATGCGAGGGGAGGGGAAGCAGGGGGAGAAGGAGGAGGCGATGTGGGAGAAGTGGGGGGCCTGCAGAGCACGCACGCATTGGCCTCGAGAACCTGGTGAGGAGGGGTGCAGGGGGCACGGCAGTGCGGTAGAGGCACGTGAATCCTGGGTACAGACGCGGAGATGAGCGGCAAGCCGATGGCTGGGATGCGAGGAAGAGAGGCGGGTGAAAGGGGGCAACGTGATGGCGGCACGGGGCAACGGCAACGCAATGGCAGCACGGGGCAACGCAATGGCGGCACGGGGCAACGCAATGGCGGCACGGGGCAACGCAATGGCGGCATGGGGCAACGCAATGACGGCACGGGGCAACGCAATGGCGGCACGGGGCAACGCAATGGCGGCACGGGGCAACGCAATGGCGGCACGGGGCAACGCAATGGCGGCACGGGGCAACGCAATGGCGGCACGGGGCAACGCAATGGTGGCACGGGGCAACGCAATGGCGGCACGGGGCAACGCAATGGCGGCATGGGGCAACGCAATGGTGGCACGGGGCAACGCAATGGCGGCATGGGGCAACGCAATGGCGGCACGGGGCAACGCAATGGCGGCACGGGGCAACGCAATGGCGGCACGAGGCAACGCAATGGCGGCACGGGGCAACGCAATGGCGGCACGAGGCAACGCAATGGCGGCACGGGGCAACGCAATGGTGGCACGGGGCAACGCAATGGCGGCATGGGGCAACGCAATGGTGGCACGGGGCAACGCAATGGCGGCACGGGGCAACGCAATGGCGGCACGAGGCAACGCAATGGCGGCACGGGGCAACACAATGGTGGCACGGGGCAATGCAATGGCGACACGAGGCAACGCAATGGCGGCACGGGGCAACGCAATGGCGGCACGAGGCAACGCAATGGCGGCACGGGGCAACGCAATGGCAGCACGGGGCAACGCAATGGCGGCACAGGGCAACGCAATGGTGGCACGGGGCAACGCAATGGCGGCACGAGGCAACGCAATGGCGACACGGGGCAACGCGACGGAGGCACGGGGAAACGGAATGGCGGCACGGGGCAACGGAGCAGGCAAGCGAGGAGGATGGAGAGGGAAGGAGCGCCAAGAAATGAAGGGGTGTGCAACATGGTATGGAGGAGGCGGCGAGACGACAGTGATGGCGGAGCGGAGGGCGAGAGCAGCGCACGTTGCTGTAGAGGACAGGGTGGTAGGTGCCAAAACAAACACTAGGTACCAAGCAGCGCACATTGTTATAGAGGAACGCCTCGCAGTGCGGCATGTAGAAGAGCGTGGGCACCGCCACGCTGCGACGGCCCTCCTGCCACCATGCACGCGCAGAGAGCAACACAAAGGGGCGGGCAGCACGTGACGATGAGGGGCCAGGCAAGGGAAGCGGAACAGGAGACGCATGGAGGCAAGATGCACGAGCTAAGAGGCTGGAGACAATGCTAAGCAGCACTGCACACAACTGCCGGCCTGGCACTGCCACTCCCTCCCTCCCTCCCCCCCTTCCCCCCCCTTCACCTCCCTCCCTGCCCTTCATCTCGTGAATGCACCTTACCCTCCCTTCCCCCCCTCTCCCCCTCTCGTTGCCTTCCCCCCCACTCTTTCCCTGGCCTCGCCCCACAGACCTCGTTCGCTGTGAGGCCGTGGGCGCCCAGCAGGGCGAGAGCGGCGAGCTCAGGGGGCGAGAGCACGGGGTCAAACACGCTCACGCGCACGCAGGCGCCGGGCGGGCACGCGGTGGGGGAGGCGCCATGGGCGGACGCATGTGCGGGCGCCATGGCGGGTGGGGCAGTGGCTGAGGGCTGCGAATCAGGGAGGGTTGATTGCGGTGGAGCGTGCGAGGGGTGGTCGGTATGTGAGGCGAGGTGGGGTAGCGGATGGGAGGAGGTGGCATGGCGCAGCGGCAGGGGTAGTGATGTGGTGGTGCATGGTAGTGATGTGGTGGTGCATGGTAGTGATGTGGTGATGCACGGTAGTGATGTGGTGGTGCATGGTAGTGATGTGGTGGTGCATGGTAGTGATGTGGTGGTGCATGGTAGTGATGTGGTGGTGCATGGTAGTGATGTGATGGTGCATGGTAGTGATGTGGTGGTGCATGGTAGTGATGTGGTGGTGCATGGTAGTGATGTGGTGGTGCATGGTAGTGATGTGGTGGTGCATGGTAGTGATGTGGTGGTGCATGGTAGTGATGTGGTGGTGCATGGTAGTGATGTGGTGGTGCATGGTAGTGATGTGGTGGTGCATGGTAGTGATGTGGTGGTGCATGGTAGTGATGTGGTGGTGCATGGTAGTGATGTGGTGGTGCATGGTAGTGATGTGGTGGTGCATGGTAGTGATGTGGTGGTGCATGGTAGTGATGTGGTGGTGCATGGTAGTGATGTGGTGGTGCATGGTAGTGATGTGGTGGTACATGGTCGTGATGTGGTGGTGCATGGTAGTGATGTGGTGGTGCATGGTAGTGATGTGGTGGTGCATGGTAGTGATGTGGTGGTGCATGGTAGTGATGTGGTGGTGCATGGTAGTGATGTGGTGGTGCATGGTAGTGATGTGGTGGTGCATGGTAGTGATGTGGTGGTGCATGGTAGTGATGTGGTGGTGCATGGTGGTAGTGATGTGGTGGTGCATGGTCGTGATGTGGTGGTGCATGGTCGTGATGTGGTGGTGCATGGTAGTGATGTGGTGGTGCATGGTCGTGATGTGGTGGTGCATGGTAGTGATGTGGTGGTGCATGGTAGTGATGTGGTGGTGCATGGTAGTGATGTGGTGGTGCATGGTAGTGATGTGGTGGTGCATGGTAGTGATGTGGTGGTGCATGGTAGTGATGTGGTAGTGCATGGTCGTGATGTGGTGGTGCATGGTCGTGATGTGGTGGTGCATGGTAGTGATGTGGTGGTGCATGGTAGTGATGTGGTGGTGCATGGTCGTGATGTGGTGGTGCATGGTCGTGATGTGGTGGTGCATGGTAGTGATGTGGTGGTGCATGGTAGTGATGTGGTGGTGCATGGTAGTGATGTGGTGGTGCATGGTAGTGATGTGGTGGTGCATGGTAGTGATGTGGTGGTGCATGGTAGTGATGTGGTGGTGCATGGTAGTGATGTGGTGGTGCATGGTGGTAGTGATGTGGTGGTGCATGGTAGTGATGTGGTGGTGCATGGTAGTGATGTGGTGGTGCATGGTAGTGATGTGGTGGTGCATGGTAGTGATGTGGTGGTGCATGGTAGTGATGTGGTGGTGCATGGTCGTGATGTGGTGGTGCATGGTAGTGATGTGGTGGTGCATGGTAGTGATGTGGTGGTGCATGGTAGTGATGTGGTGGTGCATGGTAGTGATGTGGTGGTGCATGGTAGTGATGTGGTGGTGCATGGTAGTGATGTGGTGGTGCATGGTAGTGATGTGGTGGTACATGGTCGTGATGTGGTGGTGCATGGTAGTGATGTGGTGGTGCATGGTAGTGATGTGGTGGTGCATGGTAGTGATGTGGTGGTGCATGGTAGTGATGTGGTGGTGCATGGTAGTGATGTGGTGGTGCATGGTAGTGATGTGGTGGTGCATGGTAGTGATGTGGTGGTGCATGGTAGTGATGTGGTGGTGCATGGTAGTGATGTGGTGGTGCATGGTAGTGATGTGGTGGTGCATGGTAGTGATGTGGTGGTGCATGGTAGTGATGTGGTGGTGCATGGTAGTGATGTGGTGGTGCATGGTGGTAGTGATGTGGTGGTGCATGGTCGTGATGTGGTGGTGCATGGTCGTGATGTGGTGGTGCATGGTAGTGATGTGGTGGTGCATGGTCGTGATGTGGTGGTGCATGGTAGTGATGTGGTGGTGCATGGTAGTGATGTGGTGGTGCATGGTAGTGATGTGGTGGTGCATGGTAGTGATGTGGTGGTGCATGGTAGTGATGTGGTGGTGCATGGTAGTGATGTGGTAGTGCATGGTCGTGATGTGGTGGTGCATGGTCGTGATGTGGTGGTGCATGGTAGTGATGTGGTGGTGCATGGTAGTGATGTGGTGGTGCATGGTCGTGATGTGGTGGTGCATGGTCGTGATGTGGTGGTGCATGGTAGTGATGTGGTGGTGCATGGTAGTGATGTGGTGGTGCATGGTAGTGATGTGGTGGTGCATGGTAGTGATGTGGTGGTGCATGGTAGTGATGTGGTGGTGCATGGTAGTGATGTGGTGGTGCATGGTAGTGATGTGGTGGTGCATGGTAGTGATGTGGTGGTGCATGGTAGTGATGTGGTGGTGCATGGTAGTGATGTGGTGGTGCATGGTAGTGATGTGGTGGTGCATGGTAGTGATGTGGTGGTGCATGGTAGTGATGTGGTGGTGCATGGTAGTGATGTGGTGGTGCATGGTAGTGATGTGGTGGTGCATGGTAGTGATGTGGTGGTGCATGGTAGTGATGTGGTGGTGCATGGTAGTGATGTGGTGGTGCATGGTAGTGATGTGGTGGTGCATGGTAGTGATGTGGTGGTGCATGGTAGTGATGTGGTGGTGCATGGTAGTGATGTGGTGGTGCATGGTAGTGATGTGGTGGTGCATGGTAGTGATGTGGTGGTGCATGGTAGTGATGTGGTGGTGCATGGTAGTGATGTGGTGGTGCATGGTAGTGATGTGGTGGTGCATGGTCGTGATGTGATGGTGCGCAGTGATGCGGGAGGAGAGATGCAACGCATGGCGAGAAGCATGAGCGAGCACCTTGAGTGCATGAGCGAGCACCTTGAGTGCATGAGCGAGCACCTTGAGTGCATGAGCGAGCACCTTGAGTGCATGAGCGAGCACCTTGAGTGCATGAGCGAGCACCTTGAGTGCATGAGCGAGCACCTTGAGTGCATGAGCGAGCACCTTGAGCGCATGCGCGAGCAGCAGCCCTAGGGCCATCTGGCACCTGGCAACGGGCGAGTACGCTATGCTGCCCACGCCGTACACCACCACCTCCACCACCGCGCCCTTCTGCCCATCCCCCTCCCCGTCCCCCCCTCCTCCGTCTGCTGTACACCCCTCCAACCCCGTTGCTGCTTGTGCGCTTGCAGTGGCAGGGGAGGGAGGTGGAGGAGTGGTGGGAGGGAGAGAGGTTGTGGTGATGGAGGGAGAGGGGGAGGAGAGGGGGGAGGGAGTGGACGGGGGGAGGTAGGCGGCCAGTAGACGATGGGCAACCTGTAGTGACGCCATCTGGTCTGGGGGATGCGACTGCGTCCACACAGACGCGCGCACACATGCACGCACACATGCACACACACATGCACGCACACATGCACGCACACATAGACACAAACATGCGCGCACTCACATGCATGCTTTCACATGCATGGACGCATGCGCGCGCGCGTGTAACCATGCACACATGGAAACACACAGCGACAACAAGGGCGAGCAGAGGGGAGGGACAGGCGTGAGGTGCGGGCATGAAACAGTGGAGCTGACACAAGTGGGTTCGTGCGAGGGAGGTGGTGGAGGGCACAGCGGAGCGAGGCACAGCCTATTGGCAGAAGGTGACGGGCAACGAGGGGACGCGAGGGCGCTTGGGCGTTGACGCGGGGTGTGGCAGCAGCAGCGCATGGATGGGGCAGGTGTGTGACAAGGCCATGTGGGCACACACACGACACGGTGGCACGGCGCACCTCTTAGCTTGCTGTAGAACGCGGAAAGCTGTACCATGCGCCTGCCATGGAATGCCATGACGCCACGCAACGCAATCCCCCGCCATGCATGCAAAAGAAGATGCGGCGAGTTCGGGGCGATGGGGCGGGGATGGAAGGGGATGAGCGATGGGCGGATGAGGGAAAATGGGGACGTCAAGACGTGACCAGCTGGATGTGTGTGCGGCAGTGCGGCATGGGCAGTGCGGCATGGGCAGTGCGGCATGGGCAGTGCGGCATGGGCAGTGCGGCATGGGCAGTGCTGCATGGGCAGTGCTGCATGGGCAGTGCGGCATGGGCAGTGCGGCATGGGCAGTGCGGCATGGGCAGTGCGGCATGGGCAGTGCGGCATGGGCAGTGCTGCATGGGCAGTGCTGCATGGGCAGTGCGGCATGGGCAGTGCGGCATGGGCAGTGCTGCATGGGCAGTGCTGCATGGGCAGTGCGGCATGGGCAGTGCGGCATGGGCAGTGCTGCATGGGCAGTGCGGCATGGGCAGTGCGGCATGGGCAGTGCGGCATGGGCAGTGCGGCATGGGCAGTGCGGCATGGGCATGCCATGACTTGCCCTCGCCTGCCCTCCGCCCCCCCCACTCCCCCCCCCGCGCTCGCACCTCGCATCCTCCATCCTCGCCACCACTAGCAACTCCTCGCTCTCCCCCCCATTGCCTGCGCCACCGCCTCGCCGCCCCTTGCCTTTACGGCCTGGCCTCCGCAGGGCGCACTCGCGCTAACCCTCGTTTCCCCACTTCCCGCACATTCCACCCCGCCGGCTCCACCTTCCGCTCATCTGCGGCAATCCCCAGTTCTTCCACCTCCGCGCACGCGCCCGGAAGCCCCCCCGCGCGCGCTCCTGAGCCGCGCGCAACGGCCTCGCTGCCATCCCTCGGGAGCGGGACTCTACCGCCGCTGCTCCCGCGAGCAGGGCGACGCTTGGAGACGACCGTCCACGCGTCGTCGCCGGCCATTCCCGTCCCCGTCGCACACGGCGATTGCACGGCGATTGCACGGCGATTGCACGGTGGGACACGTAGCAAAGTCTGTGCGGGGGCGACCAGGCACGTCAGGGCAGATAATATTTGGCGTGGGGAGAGTATGGCGTGCCGCCTGGGGAGTGGGTTGAGTGGCGAGCGGTGTGGGGAGAGCATGGCGTGTGGCGTACGGCGTGGGCAGAGTATGGCGTGCCGCGTGTGGGGAGTGGGCAGAGTGTGGCTTGGCGCGTGGGCAGAGTGTGGCTTGGTGCGTGGGCAGAGAGTGCTGCACGACGCCGCGGACCACTGGCCGCGGCGCCGCTGCGAGTGGCACGGGGCGACAGGGCGTACTCGGCGGTCCCCCCACATGCCTCGCACCTGTTCTTATGTCGGGCGTTAGCTGCGTTAGAGTGACGGCCTCGTGCCCTCCCTTCGTGCTATTGCCTCCCGCCTGCGGCTCTCTCAGGTGTGCGCCCCCGTTTTCAACATCTCGGTCACGAACAACAATGACCCGCCCTGGTCTCTCACTCTATGCGCTTGGCCGTTTTCCCGGGACTGCGTGCATAGGATGGGCTGCAATCTCCTAGATTGTGTAAGGAATTTGAATTCCCAAGCTGTACTGCTTTGCGCGTACACTTGATTTCCCGTCAAACCCACGGCTCGGTTCCGGACCTTTCGATCCGAACCTCGGCTGCTCCAGCTGGGGCTTCCGCAAACTCTCCCCTTCGTCCAGGTTTCCAGCCCTCCACCCTAACCTCCCCTCCCTTGAGGTGACCACCAGGCCCGCCCGCGCTCATTTGCGACAAACCTCCCTGTCCTTCGCATGAGAGTTCCGCCACCCCTTCCCCCTGTTTCCTCTTCCGTTTTGCTTTCGCCAAAGGTTTGGTTGGAGAAATGTTCGTTAGGCATGATTTTGTCGTTGCTACGAAGGCTTCGCGACACAAAATTCGCGAAGCAAGTATGCGAAAGCTGAACCGAAAGTGCCAAACTCGTTGCTCTGAACCGATCGGAAATCAGCAGAACCGTCCGAAACTGCTTGCAGAAATGAACTTCTAGAATGGCGTCGAAATGCACCCTGTTTTGACACTGAACCAAATCAACAGAATTTCTCTGTTCCCATTTCTACAAGGAGGTAGTGACTTCAGCGTGCATAAGACTCCGTGGCTTACGTTCTCACGCACTAGGTTTGTCGACGCGATAGTCGTTCCGCATCGGCGTACGCTTGAGTCAATCCTTCCGCAGCGGCGGAAGCAGGGCGTCTTCCAATTCTAGCAGCGCAAAGGCCGCTCCGCAGCAAGCTCCGAACCGAACCGAGCGTCTTAGCGGTCAAAACGTAGCAGTCGGAGCGATCCGACGAAAGAGCGTGCGATTTTGAGTGGAGGGTGCTCGCCACCATGGGCGGAAAATGGGGCGCGATCTCGAAGCTGCACGCGTTCCCCAAGGCGGAGGACCACCTGACGCAGAAGACGCTATCTGGAGCCATAGGTATGGCTGGAGTAGAGGTACTTCGGGTACATGTATGGCTTCTACAGGTAGGTGAGGCGCGATCTCGAAGCTGCACGCGTATCCCAAGGCGGAGGACCTCCTCACGCAGAAGACGCTCTCTGGGGCTATAGGTAGGGTTGGAGCCATGGGGTAACGCTTCCAACAGCCGGGGAGCGATCTGAACGCCGTGGGAGGCGGCGGCAGGAGTTAGGTAGGAGCCATAGAGTAACGCTTATACAGTCGTTTGCTCGCTCGCTCGCGCTGGTTGGTTCGTAGCATGGGGCCATCGGCTCGATCAGCGCGCTAAGTGCTCGCTTCGAATGGAAATCGATCGTTGGACAAAAGCCGATCAATCGCGTCGGGTTGATGGGCGCGCGCTCCATGGGCTCCGCTCGAGAGACGATCCGGAAAACGCTCCGCAGGGGAACGTTGCAGCTTGGGAGTACTTACTTCTCCCCCTTCCCGCCTCTCGTCCCAAGGCAGTCACTCTGCTGGGCGTGGTAACCATATCGGTGCTCTTCTTGCTGCAAGGCGTCCCAACAATATAGCCCCTCCTTCCCCCCCCCCCCTGCCCCTCCCAACACGCACCACTCACCCTCCTGTACAGTCACTCTGCTGGGCGTGGCGATCGTGGTGGCATCGAGTGCTGAGGCGCCTTAACTCACTTTTCCTCTCCCCGCCCCCCCCCCCTCCCCCCTCTCCCCCCCAATCCCCGCTCCTCCTCCTCCCCCTCGCCTGCCCCTCAATACGATCGCCCCCCTGTGCAGTCACTCTCCTGGGCGTGGCCATAATGGTGGTGCTGTTCGCTCACGAGCTGTCGTTTGTTCTCACGCCCGAGGTGCACGAGGAGGTGAGCAGAGAGAGAGCAGAATGGCATGCCCTCATGCCCTCATGCCGTCATGCCCTCATGCCCTCATGCCTTCATGCCCTCATGCCCTCATGCCCTCATGCCGTCATGCCCTCATGCCGTCATGCCCTCGTGCCCTCATGCCGTCATGCCCTCATGCCGTCATGCCCTCATGCCCTCATGCCGTCATGCCCTCATGCCGTCATGCCCTCATGCCCTCATGCCCTCATGCCCTCATGCCCTCATGCCCTCATGCCCTCATGCCCTCATGCCGTCATGCCCTCATGCTGTCATGCCCTCATGCGTCGCCAGCTCTCCTTTGGGCTCACACCGGAGGCGCACGAGAGGTGCGTGAGAGGAGCGACAGCAGAATGATTCACAGAATGATTCACAGCTGCATTGCAATCATGGAGTGATACAGCCATGGAGTGATACAGGCATGGAGTGATACAGCCATGGAGTGATACAGGCATGGAGTGATACAGCCATGGAGTGATACAGGCATGGAGTGATACAGCCATGGAGTGATACAGCCATGGAGTGATACAGCCATGGGGTGATACAGCCATGGGGTGATACAGCCATGGAGTGATACAGCCATGGAGTGATACAGCCATGGGGTGATACAGCCATGGGGTGATACAGCCATGGGGTGATACAGCCATGGGGTGATGCAGCCATGGAGTGATACAGCCATGGAGTGATACAGGCATGGAGTGATACAGCCATGGAGTGATACAGCCATGGGGTGATACAGCCATGGGGTGATACAGCCATGGAGTGATACAGCCATGGAGTGATACAGCCATGGGGTGATACAGCCATGGGGTGATACAGCCATGGGGTGATACAGCCATGGGGTGATGCAGCCATGGAGTGATACAGCCATGCATCACGAGCGCTCCTTCTGTGCTACACCACTGGTGCACGAGGAGGTGAGGTGAGCCGCTCCCGTCATCATGAGGATATGAGAGGAACGACGGTAGTTTGACTTGCCATGTCAACATGCAGTCATGCATGCGTCAAAAGCTCTCCCTTGTCCCCCTTGGGGGCTCTCCCTTGACACCAGAGGTGCAAGAGGGGAAGAGCTGCTCTTGTCACGAGAAGGTGGGTGATGGTGCATGAGCATGGGGATTCTATTTTTTAGGCGCCTCAAAAATAGACTCCTCACACATGGATTTTTTATAGAGAGAATGTTTGTTGCTTGGAAGATTGGGTGTAGCTTATCAAAGCGACTGGTGCGCGCGCGGCTCCGAAGCTGCCCATTGGCGAAGGTTCGAGCCCAACTACTTTTCAAGACACCCTGGAGGATTGAAGACGTGGCCCCTCGGTTTTTACCAGGATGGCCTGGATTGGTCCCCGAAATTTTTGGGTTGACCAGGGTGAAGATAACCTAGAGTTCAGTTTGTTGGATGCTTAGCTTCTACTTAGGGGCTTTGCTCTGCTCGCACTTTCTCATTGGCACTGATGAAGGCTCGCTAGGGATTTCTGTACAAGCCGAAACATGTTTGTCCCATGTTAACTTCGCTGTTAAGAGAAGAGCTCCTGCTTTCCTAAAACTCTTGGTTACATAAGCATCGCGTTTTTACAACTGTCTTTCCTACTTGCTAAACCGCCTTCCTAACTGCGCTCACTGGAATTATGTCCGAAGGTGGGCGGTGGTGCATGAGCATGGGAATTCATTGAGGAGGTGAGGGGAAAGGCAGTGGAATCGAGTGTCATGCAAACATGCAGCCATGCCATCCATCACCACCTCCCTCTCATTCTAATCTTCCTTCACCCTCACCTTCCTTTCTTGATCCAACTCTCCCCCCTCCTCCCCCCCCCCGCCCAACACTCCCACCTTCCCCGTCTCAACCCTTTCCCCCTCGTCTCTCAGATGCCATCACGGCAGTGGGCAAGTCGCTCAGGGGCGAGAAGCTGGACGTGCATCTCAGCATCTCCTTCCCCGCGCTTCCCCACTCGAGCATGTCCTTCTCGTCTTCTCTCTGCGGCCGTGCACTCACGTGCCACACGCATTCCGTCTCATCCGCGCCTCATCCCCGCCTCATCCGCGCCTCATCCCTCAGATGGCATGGCAGTGGGCAAGATGCCCAGGGGCGAGACGCTAGACGTGTATCTCATATTGCACTCACATGGCTGCTTGTGCCACGCCTGCTCCTTCTGTTCCCCTTCCCTCCTCTCACCCCTGAGATGACAGTGGAGTGGACAAGACGCCCAGGGGCGAGAAGCTCGACATGAACTGGGCAAGAGAGCAAAATCGTCTTCCAAGCGCGCCTTCACGCACACCTTCCTCGCCGTTCCCAGCTCTTCTCTTCCTCCCATGATTCCTCACATGACCGTGCGTTTTGCCCATCCCTCTCCTCCCCCCCCCCCCCCAGTCGCTCAGATGGCAGTGGACAAGACCACCAGCGGCGAGAAGCTCGACGTGTGCCTCAACATCTCGTTTCCCTTGCTGGCACACGAATGTGCCCACACTCTCCTTTCCTTCGCTTCGCTTTGCTTTCCGTTACCCAAAACGGTCGACCCCCCTTCCAATACTGTGCCACCCCCATTCCTTCTCATCCTCCCCCCCCCCCTTCCCTCAGATGGCAGTGGACAAGATCCCCAGGGGCAAGAATCTGGACGTGCCCCCCTCCCCAGTGGAGATCTCCTTGGGTTCACTCCTTTCCTCTTCCCTTCCTCTTTCCTGCCCTTCCCCCTCCCCCCCCCTCCCCTCAGATGGCAGTGGACAAGACCCCCAGGGGCGAGAAGCTGGACGTGTACCTCAACATCTCCTTCCCCGCGCTGCCTTGCAATGGTGGGCCGCCTCTCTCCCTCCCTCGCCCCGTTCCTTTCCGCCTTGCTCTTCTCCCTTCCTCCTCCCTCTCCTTCTTCTCCTTCTCCTTCCCCCAGCTCCCCTCCCCCTCCCCGCCGCCCAACCTCCCGCACCCCTCGCCACTCGTGTCCTCCTTTCCGTGTTCCTTTATCCATCCTCATTGTTCTGTTCTTGACTGTTAGCAGCAATTTTTCGTTGAGTTCTGCCGCTTAAGAATCTGCTGCCCATTGCTTCCATGTGCGTGTGCTCACAAGGGTGAATGCCTCTACATGTGGGCATGCATATTTCTGTCTGGGTTACTGGGTACACACGTGGATGAGTGTGAGAACATGTGACTGCATGCAAGTGTGCATATACGCATGCATGCATGTGTGTGCATGTGCGTATGTGCATACATGTGTTTACATGTGCGCATGTGCATGTGTCCATGTGTGCGCATGTGCAGTGATCAGTCTAGATGCTCTTGACATGTCTGGCAACCATGAGGTGGACATCTCAGCAAACATGTACAAGGTATTCCTCGATCGTAAAAATGGCATACGAGCATATGTGTAACGTGTAGAAGGGGTCAACGGTGGTTTTTTTCTCTTGGAAAGCTCTCCATATGTTAGCGTAGGCAACCATGAGGTGGGCATCCCAACAGACGTGCACAAGGCAGGGCATACCAAGCTAGGGCGCCAAATCGAACCCCACCACACTGCAAAGGGCATTCGCACAGGGAAAGCCTTCTCGTACCATGAGCACAGGGAAAGCCTTCTCGTACCATGGTGCGGTCTCCCTTCTCCCTTAGCTGCGGTAAAAAGGTGTAGACTGCAGCCCGCCACATGTTCTTAGTGTTGACTACCCGGCTTAGTTGCTACAAACGCTCTGGCAGACACGCGTTTAGCGTTCAAACGCTTGCGTTTGAACGCAAACGCAAAACGCACCCAAAAACGCAAACGTTCTCTGGGATTTTTTTCGGGCTGCCCCCCCAAAAAAAACACAAGATTGTCGTTGGAGAATAGCATTAAGGATAGGTGAGTTACATGACATATGAGGATGCTGGCTTAAATGTTAAGCACGGTTCTTTTTTATGAGACAAAATGCTTGCTGGTTGAACCAACATGTTTCCCCCCTCCCCCACAAGAATCTTGAACCCCTGCCCGGGTAAAAATTTTACCCCTGCCCGGGCAAGCGTTTGCCTAGCGTTCACATACACACTGCCGAGCGTTTAGCGTTCAAACGCTAGCGTTCAAACGCCAAACGCGTTTGTAGCAACTAAGGCTGTATTGTATTCTGCCTTTCCATAAACCCTCTCCTCTTGTCTTCCCTGCCCTCTTCGGCCCTACCCTCTTCCACCATTCCCTTATTCCTCTGTCGCGTATCCTCCCCCCCTTCCCTCCTTTCTGTCCCCTGTCGACAGTCTGTCCGACGCATCTGGTCCGCTATGGCAGGGTGGCAGACTCGTGCCTCAAGGACCCCACAGGAGCACAGACCCCTCGGGTGCTGCCTTTCTCTCACATGCTCTGTTCCAACCAGCCCTTTTTTCTCCCCTACACCCTCCCTGCTCCACCCCTCTCCCCCCCCGGCTCCAACCCCCCCTCCGCGTCCATCAGATTCGCCTGGACCGCCGCGGCATGGTGGCGGACTCGCGGTGGCTCAAGGACCCCACGGGGGCATGGCGGCAGCACAAGGGCAAGAAGCGGAAAGGTGGGAGCAAAGGAGAGATTGCCATGTATGGGTGTGTGCAGGGTTCATGGGCATGGGTGCACGGCACGGGCATGGGTATGGGCATGGGTACGGGCATGGGTACGGGCATGGGTGCACGGCACGGGCATGGGTACAGGCATGGGTACAGGCATGGGTATAGGCATGGGTACGGGACATGCAAGTCACCCCTCACCTACCCTCCTTGACCCACACCCCTTTCTCCCTCCCTCCTCTTGCCCACAGGCTCTACCCATGGCGAATTCCTCACGCCCTACCACGGGCATGCAGGGGGGCAGAAGGGCAAGCTCACATTTGGTTCTCCCTTACTCTTTCCCTTCCTTCTTCACAGGGCACTCGCACAGCACGACCCCAACCCGACACCTCACCACAGGCATGGGTATGGGTACAGGCAGTGCTCCCCCCTAAGCCTCACATTGCTCTCTTCTCCCCCTATGGTCTTCCCCCACAGGGCACTCGCATGGCAAGAACCCGACACCGCACCACGGGCACGGGCACGCGCACGGGTACGGGCAGGCACATGTTGCAGCAGGGCAGAAGGGCAAAGGCGGGCAGGAGGGGCAGGAGAAGGACGAGGAGGATGAGGACGATGAGGGCGAGGAGGTGGTGGGGCTCGAGCAGACGGTGCTCGACGTGCAGAAGGCCATGGCGGCAGGGGAGGGGTGCCAGGTATGTGCATGTGGGGTTGACATGTGTGTGCATGTGGGGTTGACAGGTATGTGCATGTGGGGTTGACAGGTATGTGCATGTGGGGTTGACAGGTATGTGCATGTGGGGTTGACAGGTATGTGCATGTGGGGTTGACAGGTATGTGCATGCGGGGTTGACAGGTATGTGCATGCAGGGTTGACAGGTATGTGCATGCGGGGTTGACAGGTATGTGCATGCAGGGTTGACAGGTATGTGCATGCGGGGTTGACAGGTATGTGCATGTGGGGTTGACGTGTATGTGTGAAGGGTTCCTGGTACGTGTCCATATGGGAGTGTGGGGGTGCTATGTTGCCATATACGCGTATGGCGAATACACGCTAGCATTTATGCACTGGCATATATACGCTATATTCTTGGACTTGGGATTTTATACGCTAGGTATGCGCTAGCCCGGGCAGGCTAAAATGTTTGCCCGGGCAGGGGTAAAAACAATCCTACATTTGACTTTCTGCGTGACGTCTATATCCTTAACAAAAAGCCTGAAGTACTTATACACCTCGTGTGTACTATCAAGTTCGTACGCAGCGGTCGACATTGTTGTAGTGCGATAAATTAAAGCCGTGGTACATTTTCCCCGAAATGACAGCAAATGAACAGGGGCCAAGAGGGGAGGGGTACGCGGATTGGTTAGCGAGCTTGCCGAAAGGGTGGACCAGAGCGAAACAATATTTTCTGCTCGTTGTGTAGTGGATTTCGTCAGACTCGGAAATGTTGTAAACATTGGCCTAGGGGGAACGAACCTGATGGAAGGGGCGCGCAGGAATCGAGGGGTGGGGGGGTGGGGGAAGAAACAACAAGAACAGTGTCACGTGCGGAGTCTGAAATCATCTGTACAATTCCTGGGGGAGGGGGGAGGGGAAAACGAAATTGCAGGGGAAAAACGCGGGACGGGGGAAAAACACGGGGTGGGTGGGAAATGAGACTGGCCGAGGGGGGACGAAATCAGCATTCTGGGGGAGGGGGGAATGTGTAAACATTCGACATTGCGGGGCGGGCGTAAACGGAATCAAGTGCAAAACGAATCTGGCATCCTGAAGCTATTCGACAGTATTCAACTCTCAAATATTCGCAAGTTCCGAATATTCGACACTCAAATATTCGATATTCGGGAAAATATTTGTATTCGTGTGAGTCTACCATACATCTCCCCGACTCCCCTTTCCTCTCAAAATCGGCAGCACAGTATAAGCGAAATCGGTGAAATCTGAAGGTCGCGCTATTGGCTGATTGCGGCCTCCATAAAACCAATCAATCGTGGACAAAAGCGAAAACAGGATTCTTGAGCATGACATGTTGTTCCATAAATAACCTGCCAGAATCACAGCTACTTCGACAATATGCCAGGAGTGGAAGTGATTGGGGAGGGGGGTAATAGACTATCAAGGTTAGAGGGGCTATTTCTATCTCGGTCTTCGGTGGGAAGCCCTAGAAGACACCCGAAACCCTGTTCTGCCCACCTATTCATATTCGATTCCGTATTCGTCGTCAAACCGAATATTCGAGCCGTATTTGTATTCGAATAGGAAGTGGTGTTCCATCAAATACAAAAACACCCAAGGTTTTTGACAAATACTATTTTTTTCCTGCCGTATTCGGTGCCGTATTCGTTTTTGCAGGCTTAGATGTAGGGGAGTTCAGTGCGGTGAAGGGGAGGGAATTCGGTTGGAAACCCACTTTGACCTCCCTGGTTGGGTTTTGCGCGAATGTGCCGACGAATTCCCCATGTCGAGAAATCGCGGAAAAAAAAAATTTGAGATATTTTTTGTCGGGCTGCCCCGAAATTTCTACCCAAGCGTATAGTGTATACACGCGCGTTTAGTGTTATACGCTAGCCGTATGCACGCAATACACTTCTCCCAAAAAGCGTATATGGCAACATAGTGGGGGTGGTGGAAGAGGAGGTGGTTGGCTGGGGCAGACGGTGCTGGATGTGCAGAAGGCCATGGCGGCAGGAGAAGGATGCCAGGTGCGTGATGTCGGGTGTGGGCAGTGCAAATAAAAAGGCGTTTTCTTCCTGTATGGTACAGTACCAAATTAAACGGGTGCAGAGGGCCATGTCCGCAGGGGAGGTTGGCAGGGGAGTCTCATGTCTTCTATGCACCAGCCTTTCCTTCTCCTCCTCCCTCCTGCTACCCGTACTAAATCCCCAATCCTCCGTTGTTCTCCTTTCTGCTGCAGCAGTATGGCCACCTGGCAGTGGCAGTGGAGAGGGTGGCAGGCAACTTCCATGTGCCGCCCGCTTCAGGCGGGCCTCATTCCCTCCTCTCTTTACTTGATGCCTCGCCCTTCATTTTCCCCTCTCCCCTGCCACAGCTGTACGGCCACCTGGCAGTGGAGAGGGTGGCGGGCAACTTCCATGTGTCGGTGCACGGGCAGAGCTACATGGTGCTGCAGCAGGTGGGGTGGAGTTGAACTTGCAATGCAACTAGTCAATGAAAAAGGCAATGATTGCAGAATTAATCAGCTGCCATGGGTCCATGCATGGGCACAGCTACATGCTGCTGCATCATGCTTGGCTCGGTGCGAAGTAAGGCACCCCAAACTGTCATGCTAGCAAAGGCACCCCAAACTGTCATGCTAGCAAAGGCACCCCAAACTGCTATACAAGCATAAGGCAGCCTCCTTGACACCATGCACAAGCAGAGCTACCTCCAGGTGCAGCAGGTGGGCTATGCTGTTTCTACCACCCAGCAACACATAGGCTAGTGTCCGTGTGGCCTTTCTTCCCTCTCTCCCCTCTTCAACGGTTGGCGATGTGAACGCGAGTCACATCATCTACTCACTCAGCTTCGGAGTGCCTTGTTGTTCCGTCTTCCCTCCCCACTCTCTCCCCCCTCCCCACTTCCTCCCTCCTCCCACATCCCCTTCTCAGGTATTCTCCACAGTGGGCGATGTCAACGTGAGCCACATCATCCACTCTCTCGGTTTTGGGGTGCCCTATCCCGGCCGCGTCAACCCACTGGACGGTTTTGTCCGCATCCTGCCACCCCTGAAAGAGGGGGAGGACCCCGCACGCTCCAGTGGAACTTTCAAGTACTTTTTAAAGGTGAGCCTGTTCTTTCTTTCCTTCTTCCAAGTATTTCGCTACTCTTCCCAGTTTCTTTTGCACAAGCTCCTCTCCGCCCATATATTCCCTCAAGCCCCTCTCCCCCCTCCTCGTCCCTCCCCTCCCTCTCTTCCGGTATGGCTCCCTGCAGGCAGGTGGTCCCCACCCACGCGCTTCCACTTCTGTCACGGAGGGCCGGTGAAGACCAGCCAGTATTGTGTTTGCTGGTCTCCATGCTCCCCAATCACTGCCTCACTGCATGCCTGCCTGCCTCTCGTGACTCCTCGCAGGTGGTGCCCACTCGCTTCCACTTCTGGCACGGCGGGTCCGTGAAGACCAACCAGTACTCCATCAGCGAGTACTTCACGCCCTCGTCCCCGCAGTCCAACGCTCTCCCAGGTATCTATGCCCAGCTTCACGCGCCTGCACATGTGAGTCAATGCCTGGCAGCTGTGACCCCTGGTCTGCTCTCTGGATGAAGACCAACCAGGACTCCATCAGCGAGTACTTCGCGCCTTCCTCTCCACACTACAGCTCACTGCATTAGTGAGTGCTTCACTCCGCCCTCTCTGCAGTCTAGCGCTCTGCCAGGTATGTTTCACCACACACTGCGTCTTTATCGTCTCGCCTCTCCCACTCCCACTACCGACTCCCACCGCACCTACTTTCTGCCCACCCTTCCTCTACGACCTGTAGCCCATAGCGGTGACCCTCATAGCGGTGACCCTCATAGCGGTGACCCTCATAGTGGTGACCCTCATTGCGGTGACCCTCATAGCGGTGACCCTCATAGCGGTGACCCTCATAGCGGTGACCCTCATAGCGGTGACCCTCATAGCGGTGACCCTCATAGCGGTGACCCTCCCGTGTACCCTGCCCCACAATAATCCCTTCCCCCTCCATCCAACCCCAACCCCCCCCCCCCCCCCCCCCCCCCCTCCCCCCTCGCTCCCCACAGCCGTTTATTTCCTGTACGACCTGTCGCCCATAGCAGTGAGCATCACGGAGTCTCACCGCAGCTTCTTCCACTTCCTCACTCGCCTCTGCGCCGTGCTGGGAGGCACATTCGCCCTCACAGGTGTGTGGATGAGCCTTTGGTGTCACAGGTACACGGGAGGTGCACAGAGTTAGGCGCAGTGTACTGCTAGAGGCACCAGTGAGCATTACCGAGTCCCACCGCAGCTTCTTCCACTTCCTCACTCGCCTCTGCGCCGTGCTGGGAGGGATCTTCGCCCTCACAGGTAAACTGACATGACAAATGCACCCACTGCTCTCTGCCCGCCCACTGCTCTCTGCCCGCCCACTGCTGTCTGTCCGCCCACTGCTCTCTGCCCGCCCACTGCACTCTGCCCGCCCACTGCACTCTGCCCGCCCACTGCACTCTGCCCGCCCACTGCACTCTGCCCGCCCACTGCACTCTGCCCGCCCACTGCACTCTGCCCGCCCACTGCACTCTGCCCGCCCACTGCACTCTGCCCGCCCACTGTACTCTGCCCGCCCACTGCACTCTGCCCGCCCACTGCACTCTGCCCGCCCACTGTACTCTGCCCGCCCACTGCACTCTGCCCGCCCACTGCACTCTGCCCGCCCACTGCACTCTTCCCGCCCACTGCACTCTGCCCGCCCACTGCACTCTGCCCGCCCACTGCACTCTGCCCGCCCACTGCACTCTGCCCGCCCACTGCACTCTGCCCTCTGTTGTCGAGTGCAACCTGGGCTCAAATATCTGTGGCCTTCCTTCCCTCACTTGTGCCTCCCTCTCTCCATGAATGCATGTTGGATCGCACGGTGGGCAGCCTGTCGGTACTTGTAAGCCTGGCCGAGAAACATTCCTTCCTTCCCTCTCCTTCGCTTCCCAATCCCGGGCATGCTGGATCGTTGGGTGCACAGCACAGCCTGCCGCAGCTCATCAGCCGCCCCGCCATGCCTACTCCTGTGCTCTCTGTCTTCCTGCCGTGTGCCTCCCGCTCCCAGGCATGTTGGATCCTTGGGTGCACAGCCTGCTGTTAAGGCCACCACAGCGTTCAAATCTTCGTCCCCCCCCCCCCACTCACCTGTGCCTCCCTCTCCCAGGCTGCTGGATTGCTGGGTGCACACCCTGCTGCTGGTCGTCAACCCGCCGCCATGTGTACCGCCATAGTGGCACATCCTCCGTCCCTCTCTTGTGCTCTTTCCTTCCTGCGGCCGCTAGGTGTACAGCCTGCTGCAGTGAGTGCCTCAACTGCCCGCACCTTCTGGCCTGCTGTTAAAGAGTTCCCTCGGCTCAAACACCATATCCTTCCTCCCCCCCCCCCCCCCCCCCCCTTGTCCATTCCTCTCCCAGGCATGCTGGATCGCTGGGTGTACAGCCTGCTGCAGCTCGTCAACCGCCCCCGCCATCCCTATGTGAAAACAGCTCATCGGCACTAGCTGTGGTAACCAGTGAAGGTGTAACCCACAGATGTGTAACCAGACCGGAAGATGTGCGTATACTAATCTTGTCAACCAGCCAAAATGTGGCTTCTGTCATGCACGTGGAGGTCCCCTGTGTTGGAAACAAAGAATTGGAGAACCCGTTTCTGTAGTATCGAGACTTCAGCGATACTGTGGAGTGGTCAACAACGAGTACGGCGAGTGAACGGAGGTTACGCGCGGCAGTTGTGCGTGTAATCAAAGCGCGTGGCGGTTACCGTAATCACCCGGATAGACGCCCCTAGGGGCGTTTACAGGACTGGTTTGAAAACGTGGGGGGGCGTTTAATTGAATAAAAGTTATACGCCCATGGGCGTTTAAAAAGGTATATAGGCAAATTGAGATGTCTACATCAGATTGTAGCTTTTGCTTTGTTCAATGCAATGTGATCACTTCTGACGAAAATTCTCAAATCCATCGCGCTGAAAGTCCAGTTGGCAATATGCCAAGCCGGAAACAGGCTACTACCGTATTCCCCCGTATATAACACCCCAGGGTATTGTCAAAAATTCATTAAAAAAACGAAGGGGTGTTAACAGTAGGCTGGAAAAATATAACGCCCGTGTCTTATGTATTATGCAAAATGAATTTGGGGCGTAACATGCAGAAATACATGCAGTACAGGATGACACGTTAAGCAAGGTTTGGATGACGATCCCCAACCTCCACTCGGGCCAGCCTGGCGATAACGTCATGACGTGCTGCATTTGCAGCCAACCCGAGGAAGCCGGTCCTACCAGCACAAGAGGAAAGCGGCCTCCTGCAAGTGACAAGATTTCATCGACGGCTATGAATCCCGGGTTTTTACAACATAACAGAAGTGCGCCACCAGATTCCTTTACGGAATCTTCTTGATGGGACCAGCATGCATGGTCCCATCGCTTCTTGCAGAGCCGTGCGCGCTTCGGCTTGGGGCGTCGGCCACGGTTCTTCTCCAACCTTCTCTTGCCTCATTGTCATTCTTGCTCCTTGCTCCTCTCAGCCTCAATCAAATTCTTCGCAATGCCCGAGCTCTCTAACAGAGGCTCGGGCATTGCCCAATCTCGCCTAGCCCTCGTCGAAATTTTCCCCCATGGCCGCTCGAGCAGTTAATGGTGTGTCACTTTTGCGAGCTCATCGCCCACCCTTCGGGAATCAGACGTTGCTCCGTCCTTTCCCACTAGTTCCTTCGGATCCTAGATATCCGCCTGCATCTCCCGCTCCTCCCGCTCCTCCGGCGCGTGAAGACGAAGATGGGACAGCGCATGACTGCAGGTACGTAATTTGACGTGCCGCGAATACTCCCTACCCTCGTCTAGCTCTCGCCATGCTTCCTTGTTTGCTGACCGCACTTATGCTTTCTCTGTTTTTGTTTTTTATTATTTTCATTGGCAGACTGTGATGCGAAAGTCGAGAAGTTCTGGGAGTTTGTTCGGCAGCTCCGCACGCTCAACGACTACCCCGACGATCTGATCATCAACGCGGATCAGACGCCACTATTCTTGGAGATGCCGCAGGAGACCACACTCGAAGTCCGGGGCTCGAGAACTGTCCATGTGCGCACGGCCGGCTACGAGAAGGAGAGGCTGACCGTCATGCTGGCCGTCACAGCAAGTGGCAAGAAATTGAAGCCGTACTTCATCTTCAAGCGGAAGACACTACCTCGGATCCGCGTCCCGCCCGGTAAGGATTTCGTGCCTGCTTTTTGTGCCGCCACCGCTAATATTTTTCGTAGCTGTCTTTCCAGGGCAAACTCATATGTCTCATACCTTGCGCTTGTGCACGAATTGTGATCAAGGCCCAGGAGAAAGGGTGGATGGACGAGACCCATGTCAAGGACTGGGTCACCACCGTCCTGGTGCCGTTTCTCCGCTCGATACCCTCGCGGCGCGGTGGCCGTCAGAAGGCTCTGGTGGTCCTTGATTCGTACAAGGGACACTTGACGGAGGGAGTGTCCCAGTTGATGCGACTCTTCAAGCTGTCCAGGGCTGTCATCCCCGGCGGTTGCACGCCCATCGTGCAGCCTCTAGACGTGGCGGTAAACCGGTGCGTCAAGGCGCATGTCCGGAGGTCCTACAGTGAGTGGTTCGAAGAATTCGGCTGCGAGTCCACAAACCCTGCAGGTGAGTAACGTCTTTATTCTTTGTCTTGAAAACCTCTACCCGAGTCGTGATTTTTTAAACCATGCCTTGCATTTCTCCACCGCTACTCCTAAAGCCCCCGCCTACTGTCTCGTCGTTGTGTTTTCCCCTGCAGGGAATCTTCGCAAGCCGCCAGTCGAGCTCGTGCTGCAGTGGATTGCCGACGCTTGGGCCGCGGTGCCAGCTAAACTCATCCGCCCCGCGTTCAAGACGTGCGGCATTTCCAATGCGACTGACGGCACAGAGGACGAGGTGATCCTCGCCCACATGCGGGACGACGCCGAGGTTGAAGTCATGGAGGACGTCCATGCCGAAATGGAAGAGAGTGGGGCGCTAAACCCATACTACGAGTCGGAATATGTGGAGCCGAGCGCCACGCCCAGCTCGGAGGAAGACGATCCCGATGTCGAGGCTGAGATTGAAGCTGCAGCAAGTGCCTCATCATCTGGTGCATCTGGAGCTGCAACAGCCGCGCCAGCATCAGAGGCGTCTGGGAATCCAGGAGCCCGCACAGAAGCAGCAGCAGCAAAAGCCTCTACAGAAGCAGCGACAGAGGCGGGGATATCAGCTGCCGAAGGCGACGAAGGTCTAGAGATGCCTGCGGCGGAGGTTCTGGCGGGCCTGGCTGCGTCCCAGTGGACTGATGACTTTGACTGGGATGACATCGCCAGTGACGATGAAGATGCCGAGGTGTGGCATGCAGGAGAGGACTGGCACGATGAGGACGAAGACAGAGACTAACTATTGACTTACCCTGCTAGGACATGTAGCTAGCTGTTGGATTATCAGTGTGTGCTGAGTGAATGGTAGTGGTAGCTAGCTTAGGTAATCGAAAATGCACTAGAAATGCCTCGCACAACGGATAGGCTATAGGCTAGTGTTAAAACTGTTGTCTAATGATAAAACCTTGATGTTAGACCAAGCAAATCCACAAATCCACGATGGAGGGTGTTATGTAAAATTCGTACTAAAAAAAGTGGGTGCTCTAAAAAATGCACCATATCATAAGCTATCCCCCGCATATGCCACCCGTGGGTTGACTATTTCGGCGGGTCTTATACACGGGGGAATACGGTATGACGCGAAACTTGCTGGCGCGAAGAGCCAAAGGGCGCAAATCGCGCTTCTGGCTGGCACAGGGTGAGGATTCTCGCTATTAGACCCGAATTCGTTCCGTCGTTTTCGTACAGTGTTTTAGGAATTAAAAGCGGGGCGTATAGGATACACACTTTCTAAAAATAGGGGGGGCGTTTAATCGAATAATAGCTATAAGGCCCAAAGCACGAGATAAAGCCCATGGGACTTATCCTACGGAGGGGCGTCTATCCGGGTGATTACGGTACACTCGTGGCAGTTGCACCTGGAGGTTGCGCGTGGAGATTGCGTGACAGCTCAATTGCACAGTAACCGCTACTGTAGGGTACCTATCAAGTCGCTATACGCTCGATAGCGCAACAGCTGAGATGATAGGGTTGAACCTTGGCGATTTTTTGGGTGGGTAGGAGGATTATAACCTAGCACATTATGTTAGACAGGGCATGTTTTGTCAGGCCAAAAAAAATTAAGTCTCACCAATGAGGTACATCTTTTAGGTTTCTGATCTTCAGATCGGATCGGACTTCACTGCGTACAAATTGTCACACTACCAGTATGATTTTGGCGAAGGACTAGTCACGCCCCTCACGCCTGCTCCAACTCGCGCCAGACTGCCAGCGTGATTTTGGCGAAAGACCAATCACGCCCCTCACATGTGCTCCAACTCGCGTTACCTGCATTGCGTCATTTTGCCTAAAGGTCCAGTCATGCCCCTCACACCTGCTCCAACTCGCGTCAAACTGCCAGCGTGATTTTGGCGAAGGACCAATCACGCCCCTCACATCTGCTCCAGCTTGCGTCGCCTGCATCATTTTGGCAAAGGACAAGTCACGCCCCTCACAGCTGCTCCAGCTCGTTTCGACCAGTCAGATAGGATTCTGTTTCAGGCTGGAAATCCGTTAAGGCTGATAATTCAGGGTGACCAAAACAAGAACATACAATATTTCAAGCCTGCTCAAATGAGAACCCCTAAAATTCAAGGCTAGGAAAAATCAAAAGCTGGAAAAACAGGACGACCCGAAAAAAACACCCTGACTTCAGCGCAGAGATGCATTTCATGGCATTTTGTCCTGACTTCTGAAGCCCTGGCGTACACCATTCTCTTGCGGAACCTGTCACCAAAAGAATAACAGAACATCGGAACTTATCGTGGCTACGGAAACTCAGCGGAACTCGCGTACAACCACTTGAACAGCATGTATCCGCGAATGATAGCGTAAACCAGAGCTGCCTCATGGCTCGGTTGACAACCGTCCAGATGCAGCACGACAAGAAAGCCATGGCGTATACGAGTCGCTGCCGCAGTCTCCTCAATAAGCTCCTTCGCAGCGGCGGCAGCATGTCGGAAGATACGTTTGTTGCCGACATCGTCGACAAGGACCACAAGCAAGACGCTGCGTACCGCCATTCTGCCACCTCGGCCGCACGTCAAGACACACGCGAGTCAACTGCCCTCGTCAGAATCACCACCAGCAGCAGGTCCCACAACGCCAAATCCGCCCTTCGGGAAATCAATTCACTTCAACGCAAGCGCACCCGCCGCCCTCCACGCCACGACCTGCACAAGAGACACGGCACATCGTCAGTTGCATGGCAAGAATCGACTCTTGCGTGACTTATGACCCAGATGAAGTAGTCATGCCGCCTCGACGAGAGAAGCTGGAACCAACCCGACTTACGCCGCCATTGCTCAAAGTGAGCCGTCCGGTCAAGATACGTGGTTCTTGGACAGCTGCTGCGGGCAGCACATGTGCTCTTTAGATCGCTTTGTTCAAAGTGAGCGACAACTCAGCCACGAAGCCGTCATCACCGTCGCCAACAATCAACACCTGAGCACACGAAGGCAAGGAGTTGTTCAGCTATTACCTCTGGAAACTAACGTGGTGCTACAAATGTCGAAAGTACTCATAGTGGAAGGCTTGGGCTACAACTTACTGGCTGACGGCGAAGGGGATTCACCTGGAATGCGACAGCACTACCCAAGAGTTCAAATTTTACCACAGGAAGGGCGGCCTCTACATCGGGAAAGCCGTACTGAAGAACAGTGTCTTCGTCCTGGACTTCGTTCCCGGTCGTGGCACCGCCGACAGCGACGCCATCGTCTCCTTCACTTCTTGGACTCACCCTCCAGAACTTGATCCTTACTTCAGTCCGGGTGGCTTCTAGCACTTGCGCACCATCCCT